CCCGCTTCTAGGTAGCCTCTGGGTTTGCTACGAGCCCCTCTGATTGCTCAGTCTCCTGCCAGCACGTGGCTTCGCTTTTGTCTCACCTGAACCCTGCAAGGGACGCCACACTGTCAGTGGTCATGTACCGGAGTCCACCAGAGAGAGTAGCTATGTCCTGGCTGCCGAGACCCGGACCCCCCAGGGGCACTGACCATGCTCTGGCCACCGAGCCCCGGAGCTCCACAGGGACAGTGGTAATGTCCCGGCTTCTGAGCCCGGAAACTCCCCGGAACAGTGACTATGCCACGGCCGCCCAGTACTGGAGACCCCAGGGACAATGGCCTTGTCCGGCCCCTGGGCCCGGCCCGCCCGCGCCGTGGCCTAGGAGAAGTCGAGTGGAGAGCCAGGAAGGGGCGGCCCGGAGCTGGAGTCTGCTTTCTGCCGGCTCCCTGGCTCCCCCGGGCCGAGCCGGCCGCCTTGTGATCAATAAAGCCCAGACAGACAGACTGTTGATCAGTAGGAGAGGCTGAGTTCTCCCGGGTAGACGGGACCAGGAGCCAGCTAGAGACACTTAACGAAAATTAGCAAATCCAAAAGCACCCGGCGCCAGCTAGACGACACTGGCCGAGACTCAATTAACCACCCCCCAAACAATCACAGGCAAACACACCCGCTGACCTAATCAATATCAGCCCCACAGCGATCACTTTCCTGAGATACTAAGTCATTTATTAGGGTTTGAGGGGCAGCCGCCCCGAGGAACCTAAAATGGAATGGGATGCTGTTTGCTTGTCTGAGGGGGAAATGGGCTTAAGGATTTTATTATCTCAGGGAATGCTCTTTTACATCCCCTCCCCCAAGCAAAAGTAAACCATCTGCAAAATTCACTTTTAGGGTCAGCCAACATTTAAAACGGGAGAGATAAAAGTCAGGTCATTTAGAATGGGAGGGCAGATGTGAAAACTAAGAAGCTGGGAGGCCAGCCTTTAGTTCAGAGTCACTGGCCTAGCACTTGAGGCCCTGGGTCCCATGCCAGCACAGCAAAGCAAACAAACACTTAAATCGGGAAAAATGTCTTACGGACTGAAAATCTAGGAGGAGCCTTCTAGACACCTAACATAGTAAATTTGCTAGAAGTCTTGAGAAACACAGGAAGTTAGTGACGCTACCTTCAAAAAAGGATGTTTTGTGTAGAAAAAGCAAATAATTCCATAATATTATATTCTATTACTTTCCTAGATCAAAATTGCATTTTAAGAGGAGGGAGGGAAGTTCACACTTGTAATCTTAGCACTTGAGAAGCTCTTGGATAGCTAAAGCTGGAGAAATGGCAAGAGTTAAGAGGCCAGCCACCAGCTACATAGTGAGTTCCATATCAGCCTGGACTACAAACTAGACCTTGACTCAAAACAAAACATAAAATTTTACAAATTTAAGTATAAAGAGGGACGGAAATTGTCAGATGCACCCTATGATCACACCATTTGGCAGGTAGAGG